GTTGCGATTGTTGATATGACTTCAGAAGGCTTAGACGTGTCAGAAAGTTTTCGTTGTACTCGCGTGAACTAATGTCACTCTGTCATAAAGCATGTGTTTCTTTCTGTGTGGGCATGGTTCCTTAAAGGGCCGGCCACTCACCAGGTTTGACAATTTTGAGCTGACAAGCGCAATGCGTAGACGAGGCGTTTATGATCACGTCTGCCAAAGTTTACAACGCTCTGTGCCGCGGAAATAGGTCAAATTTCAAGATGAACGCTGCTCGCCCTCCCCTCTGCCGGCGCACTCCTAGAGAGTGAGGGCATGACGTGGGCGTAGGAATGGCCCTACGTACACGGCAATGCGGTGACGTTGGTCCTCTACGTAGACGACTCTGCTCTGACGTTGTCAACAGTATGCCATGTGACATGGCAAAAATTATTTAACGCAATATGCATAGTTTATGTATTTGTTGCTTTAAGCGATTAATAAAACTTGAAATAAATAATGAGACGCAATAAAAAAAATTTGCTGTTTTTCTTTCATACTTTTACCATGAAATGCTACAAGATACGGGGCTAATGTGCCAGCGTTTCACATGTGTTCATGTCCCCGCGATCAGCGCATTGAGCAGAGGACCACTGTGGAACGCTCCTACGCGTTCGCGCGCTCATTGTGCTCATCTACTCTACCGCGTATAAGCCAGTGTTTCTAAACAGGCAGAAGACCACAAAATAACGCTGGTCAACAAAGCAACGCTGCTCGTGTGCTTGGGGGTTGGACTTGTTTGGGCACGTCATGCGCACGTCACCTCATGGTCGGATGCTGGAGAGGGTGGGGAAGAGATTTGGCTTGGGAAGGCTACGCGGAGGAGTGGCAAAGGTTTTGAGTTCGCCTCCTCTCATCCTCGTTTCGTGCCACCTGTTTTCTCTGCTCGAGATGAACCGATTCAAAACATTTTTGTGGCAAAATGTTCCTCATCGGATACCCAACAACTTCCACTGTCTAACTAAAACTTAGTATGTGGCCTGGTGAGTGGCCCTTTAAAGCAGCACCGAATGAATGATAGTATCAATTTAAACTATGCTTTTTCTGTTTATACGCGGCTGCAATGACACACCTGACACAAGTGCATTGGGCAGGGCTATTGCTGCTACGGTGCACTTCATGAGGTTTTCACGTCTGTGTGAAATCGCAGGAAAACAGTAATTGGAAAACATGCTGAGATTGTTTATTTATTTAAAAATACTCTACAGGCCCGTGTTGAGGCATAGTGTAAGAGGGGCAATACAAAAAGTGCAATTTCACGATTGTTCACAAAATATAAATACGTGAACAGCGTTCACGAACCAAATGACAAAGCGCAGTACAATAGAAAATATTTACGGCAGTACTGGTAAAAAAGAAATCTCAACACTATCAAAGATAAAACATATAACGGAAAAACAATCACAGGAGGCATTATCTAACAAATAATATAGTCAAGCAAACTTCAGATTTTACACAATGAATTGTTTGACATATGAAGAGAAAAAAAAAAGACACTTGGCTGTTATGAAATGATGCAATCAAAAATAACAAAGAAAAATTAAAATGACACTAAGGGCGTACAGCTATAATGGCAGATTTTTTTGCGCATCCTTGGCCAGATAACTGGTTAATGTGTCACGGAATGTATTAATGTTTTGTAGACATGGGATCCTATCTGGCAGGGAGTTCCTTCATCAGACAGCACCTGGAAGTGCTGAACTATCGAATTCACGTGTTGATCCGTAAATGCACAAAAAGCTAAGATGATTATGAAGCCTGGGTGACATAGAGTGGAGTTGTGTCAAGCGTGCCAGTGTTCGAGATGAGTGTATGAATTTGTGTAACAGTGTCACAAGGAATGAGAGGTTAAGTTTATTTTAATTGTGTGACACCAGACTGATGCTTGTAATTGTTAGAAATGATTGCCCTGTTCTGAACTCGTTCTAATATGTTGATCATGCTAACAGATTAAAATGTACACGTCTATCGTAGGTTACTGTAACGGCAATGATTTCGCATTGTTAACAAATTAAAATATGTGTACACATCCCGTTATGCCACAATGCCATCAAAATACCTCATGCTTTGATTAGATTCTCAAAGCTAGAGCTACACGTCAACAAGGCTCATATGCAACCTCCTCTGTTGCGGCTGCCACTCATAGAAATGCGGGCTTTGCTCGGAGGCAGCTTTTGCGCTTGCTGCACCAGTTGTCACATGATCATGAGGGTGGTAGCGTGCTTTTCGCTGGGATGGCTGGGCAGAGTTTACGCATCGGGACATCGATGCTCAGCAACATGTATCAATGGAACCTTCTGTTGTTTAACAAGGAATAGGTCTATGAGCTGGCTAGGGCTATAGTTGGCTCTAACGTGGCTCATTTTTCTGATTTTAGTGTTTAGCCGAGTTTTGCGTGCTTGTGCGTGTTACGTTAATTTTGTGTATTTTCCATTCTTGGTTTGATAAAGTGTGTGCCTTCCCACCACAATCCCCCATCTTTCTTCTCAATCCATCTTAATTGCAAGCACACCCGAAATAATCATAACACTTCTATACACCGCAAGTATCAGAGTTCCCATTGCAAGTTGCCATTCGCAATCCTCAGAGCATTACATCAATGATAAAACGCAACGCTAGTGCTATTTCTCACTCACGCCTCTTCTCTTTTCCATCCTTGTCTTCTCTCATGTCCATTCTTTACTTCCTCTTCTTCACATTTTTTCTCTGTTTTGTCTACAATACCACATCTTTTGTCTTTCTTTATTCTATAGTTCTAAAGTGAAGCTCCCTTTCACCTTCTTCCCTTTTGCTTCGTGCCATCTTTCAATCTGAAATTGTCGGGTCACGAAATGAGAGCCCCGCTCACGGAACACACGGACACAGCAGATGCAGTCAAGCCACACGAGGCATTTCGTACATTTATTCAACTACTTTTACATCGATATCGCTAGCCAAATTAAGTATGTCACTAGTGAAACCCTAAAACAACCTTATACAATATTTCAATGCACTAAATCAACACAACGAATCCTAGGTAAGCGGAAGGGGGCGTCGCTGACATTCAGCTTAACACGAGGGGCCCACGGTAGACGACCATTCGCGCTAGCCGCCCTGTGCTCAAGAGAGTCCGGAAGTTTTTCTATGCGGCTACCGAGCCTTGCCGCAGGGCAGCCCCCAATGCTGCTGTGCTGACCATGGTGATGATGAACTTGTGAGAGCACTGCACCACCTACTGCTCGATGGTTGTTACCAATAAATTCAGCCCATCTGTGAGACACGTACGCGATGAGGTGCAAATGACTTCACAGGGGGTGATAGCAAAAGCACAAAAAACTAAAATTTATCAGCTGCACATGCTGTAGGAAAGAGTACAAGAGATGTCCCTAAAGAATGTCCATGCACCACGAACCACCGCCAGTTGACACTGCTGCACTGTCTGGCTCAATGACTTTATAACGAGCAACACTGCGGTCGGTGTGAGAAAGTGTCACTCGCACCGACACGTCTTCTTGTTCCAACCAGCACTCGCGAAAGAGCTGGGCTGCAGGCAGTTGCACAGGTCCCAGGCATGCTCATCGCCTGGTGCCACAACCGCATTCATGGTCAGCCGCGCAGACAATGTGCAGAAGACAGCCAGCTGCGGGTTACATCACTCCTAGTGCGTACGCTCAAAACAGTGTGGGGTCTTGAAATAAGAGCCCCACTCTTGGGTCACATGGACACCGCAGACATGGTCGGTTCACACCAAATAGCGTGTTCATTTATTCAACTACTTTTCTATCGATTATATCGCCAGCTGAGTCAAATATGTCACTAGTGACACACTATAACAACCTTATGCAATATTCTAATGCACTTAACATAACAAATACAGAGTAACGTGAAGCCGGCATCGCCAACATTCGACTCACCATGAGAGGCCCACAGGAGATGACCCACAGTGTCACTCCCATGGCCCCATTAAGGTAGACAACTGTTCGCGCCAGCTGCCCAGCGTCAAGCAGAGTATCGAATCTTGTCTGTGCGGACACCTAGTCTAACCATAAGGCGGCCCTGCCACTGCTATTGCGCTAAATGATGATGATGATGATGATGAACACGTGTGTGCCACGAGGCAAATGACTTCACAGGTGACGATAGTAACTCCACAATGTCAACACAATCATGACCAGTAATGTTTCGTGCAGGAAATTTTTCCTTTTTCGGGAAATTTTCGCCTGTCATTTTGAGCCACAGGGAAAAGGAGTCTTTGCGATATTGCAGGGAATTTAAAAATGGTTAAAATCTCCTGTGACCACCGACTATTAGTGGTCACAGTGCACCTTCATTTTCTGTAATCTGTTCTGGCTCATGCACAACGCAAGTATGCTGCTTGAGATTTGTTTCTAATATTTACACGGAGCGATTTCTTGTTCACTATTGGTGTTGGACTTGAAGCCCATAATGTGCAGTGTACTAACAGTATATAAATTAATAAAGTGATGCTTTTGTTGTGCGGCAGTGGAGGGGCTAGTCATGATTTCGAAAGTTGCCTGTAAGTCAGACACGTGTAATTATAGTATGTGCGTGCGTGGATGGGGGCAGAAATTAGTACTGTTGTGCAGGGAAATATGCTGGAAATTGGGTGAACGTTTGCAGGGAAAAATCTTAAATAGGGAATTTTCATGTGTCTGAATGGGAATTCTTCGATGTGGTACGGAACATCACTGGTCATAATCTTTTCTTTAGAATCAGTCTGCATGCTTGTGTTATTTCATCATGAATCCTCACCAACTGCTCAACTTTTTTTTTTTTTTTCGTTTCGAGCAATCTAAAATGTAACTGTACCAGTGCCATTTTCAGCCTAGGCAGCATAAGGCTGTATGAAAGTCGAGGTTTGGTGCAAAGAGATGTGCACAAAAGTGGTGACAATGATAAAAATGGCATCTGGCATTACATTGTTGTCTATTTCTTGATAACATCCTATTCTAACAGAACTTACTCTCTTGCAGCACGAGTCGGAAATTCTTCCATTTCCTAACCCTGACAATGAGTTTGTGCTGCCTGATAATGATTTCGGAGACCTGATGTTCAAGCGTAAAGAGAAAGTTTCAGTTGACAAAGAATCCAGCAAAAGAGCTCTATCACCTGCTGCCAGGTAATACCTATTTTATACCTCTATTAAAGCAGCTTAAAGACCAACTCAACTGATTTTTAATGGTGGGAGTGAATTTCTTTGTCCTGCCCATTTTAGTATTCATTGTTGTGTTTTACTGGTGATGCCTGCTCAGAGCTTCACAAAATGCTCAGTAGCACTGCGGTTAGAGATATCGTTTAGTGTACCTGTGGTGCCGTTTATGCAACTATAAGTGGCAGAGTAGGCACGCACGCGAAGGCAATAAAACCCAATTTCACCTTAGAATGCCACAAGGAGGCAGTGCCACTTTTGCAGACCTGGGAGATTTACAGTTGTAAAGAAAAAGATTAGCACTCATGGCGAATGTGGCAGTGAGGAAATCGCAACATTGGTTGTTGTGTTAACCCCCATATCAAGAAGAAATTATCAAGTTAGTGAAGAATAGCCCATACTAAATTAAAGCTTGAATTTCCTGTGATATTCGTGATTTTCTTGCAATAATCATTGGCCATTGTGCTTATGTTTTTCTGCTGGAGCAGTACATCTGGTACTGTGCCAGAAGTAGTTCAGTGTCAAAGGTTGCTGTCACTAGAATTTCATTCTTTGTGTGATATTACATTGTTGAATGCACGAACGCTTTCACCAGCCACAGACACTGTGGCTGGTGAACCCTTTCTAGTTTTACCTATGAAGAATCATCCATAAATGCACCATGTTTACACAGTTTTTTGTTCAGCCACAAAATGCTTTATTGTGACAATAATTGTAATAATACTTCCATGGGCACCAAATGAGATTTGCGCAATCCATTGCGTGTATGTGCCACTGTGACATAGAAAAGAAGACAAGGAAGTAAAGAAGACTACAAGGTCATAGAGCTTGTCCTTCCCAGATGTTTATGATAAATATTATAAACACTTATTATCCTTACAGTGTTCAGTGTACTAACCATTTTGACAGTGCTCTAAACTTTTACAGTATTTTAATTCATGTTATATTTCTTGGTGTTTAAAACAGATTCCTGAGCTAACCGTCTGTGAAATTGGTCATTAGACAAAAACTTCTCTTGCAGAAACTTGTACTGTATTTCCTTGATCGACTGTTGATTCTGCTGCCAATAGCGATCATCTGCCTGTAATTTTTAAAATTTTTTATCCAGTGGCATTTGCTGATAAAGAAACCAGTACATTTAGTAACTGGCATATTCAAGAATTGCTTGGTGTCTACAATTTCTTCCATATCCACTGCTTCATGTGAACAAAAATCAAAGAAAATTTGTAGTGCTCTAACAACTTCTAGAAAAAGTCAAAATTTATTGTTCAATAAAATAAAATCATTCGTTCGATTCTCAGTGGAACGTAGATTGCGATTGTAGAAGGAATGCAGCCTGGAAAGCTTATTACATTACCAGTGTTCGAAAAACTGGAGTGACTATAACTGGAGTGACTATAAACTGGAGAACCATATTCAAACACACAGTTGACTAAAGCAAAAGATGACACTAAGCATTATGATTTCCTATCCTGAGCCAGAAGTAAAAGTGTGGTTTTGAAATTTTTCTGCAGTATAAAAACTCTTCAGAGTCCAGACATGAATTCTTTAGCGTTCTCTGATGAAGAAATCGAACAAAGGCTAAGATATATAGCTAATGATCTGAAAAAACAACGAATTTTCATCTTTCCTATCGCCATACACTACAGTTGAATCTCGCTGTGCGTGAACACTTTAAGGGGGGAAGTGGCATTGAAAAAAAGTTTTTTATTTGTTTACCTGGAGCAATTAAACCTGGCATGCATACTCATGGGTGTCTTGAATAGGGAAATATCTAGTTTTGTTATGATACCTTGAGTAGTTCTCAAATTACATCGCGCTACATGGTGCGACGTATATGGTCTGCTCGTGGAAAGCCTAGGGCTGTAACAAAGCATGCCAGGAAGCTGCAAATAGTGTTGATCTTTACTTAACAATCTCAGAATTTTTTTATCACTTGTCTTTTTTTTTCATATAGAGATCATCATGGCTGCCTACACACATTGTCAGAGACAGTGTCATGTACAAGTCATCTTTTAGAAAAAAAAAAAAAAGAACTGGGCCATAAACAAGAATTCAAAGATTTTCACACCATCAAAAACTGTTTTGGGATTCAGGAAAAAAAAAAAAACTGCATCAAAATCTGTCCAGTCATTGCTGGATAAACTTTCCAAGAGCAATGCACAATGTCCATAAGACACGTGTGAGAAAAAGCCTGTTGAAGTTATTGACAGGCTTTTTTCAACGAACCTTCTGGTTTCTGGTTGTATATTGATGAAAATAGGCACAGACACTATAAATGGCCTCACAGTGCTTCCATACAAATGTCAAGGCAATACCACAAATACTTGATGAGTGTCAAATTATTTCTTCATTGAACCTCGTGGAGGGGCTGAGCATAATGCCAAAAAAAAAAAAAAAAAACAGTTGAGAAAACTACGTTCATAGTTTGAACTTCTCTTTACGTCTCTAAAACACCTAAAAATTGTGATCTCCGGCTTGTTTTGTAATCTCTGACTTCTCAGGCATGTAGTCTCTGCCCAGTGTGCCTTTAATTAACATAAATAAGTACTTGATTACAAATAATCACTTAACATTTTTTACAGAGGTTTATTGCATAAAAAAAAATGGCTCACACCATCACAGCCTATGCCTTTTTTCTAAACAACAAAGCTATGGGCAGAAGATTGGTGGCACAGGAATTTTTTAGAAGTTTATTTAATGATGCGAGACGGGCGTATAAAAATTCGTGAACCTGCTTCATACATGCTCTTTTGCTACTCTGGCGGGGAAACGCACCATCGTACGGCCGGTCACGGAAGTGCAAATCTACGAGGCTTTCATTGTCTCGGAACATTTAAAGACGCTTGTGGTAATACCATGCACGGCTCCAAGCATGTGGAAATCGCATTAAAAAAGCTTATTGACAGCACTCCGTAGGACCGTGGAGTGCGCGGCCGCGTGGACAGTGCAGTTGGCATGTGATGCGCTTGGTGGCGGCATTCGGTGACGATGCGCGAAATGTGTAGCTACGATGACGAAAAATCGGCACGCTCTGGGCCTGGTATCGCATTTTCAAGTGACGACCCTCAAAACTGCTAGCCGCTGTTCTGAGCAATCCTTGGCAGTGGAGGGGGGCGGGGTGGACAAGCTTGACTGTGGGGTCCGCTGCCGATGCTTAAAATGCCCTTTTGCGGTTCCGAGAAGCTAGCGAGTGAAATGCTTCGTTGCTTGCGAAGAAGCACGTCGCCACGAATGCACTAGCGCGTCGTTCTTTCCCGCAGTCTCGTCGTAAGCAGATCCTAAAGATTATTCTGATAACGCGCAGTGCTCAGACCGCGCTCGCTCTTAGTAATCTGATTGTGAATTCGCTTATAGTTTCGTTGCTTATTTATTTATTTATTTATTTATTTGTGAATACTGCAACCCTAACATAGGGTTTTGGCAGGGTGGATATACATTTCATAAATTTACAAATTGGCAAACAAATAAAAATAAAAAAGAACAGTGATTGGTAATAAACCGGCATAAGAATATATAGAGAAATGAGCGCTACATTCAAGATGATCACAAGTGGAGAATAGTTACAGTGATTGAAATAAACAACAGGAGCACATGTCATAGAATTTAGACACTCACTGCTAGAGCTGCGCAGCAAAAAGGTTCAAGGATGACTGGGAAACAACTTCGTTACTAAGGTTATTCCATTCGATAATTGTCCTAGGGAAGAACGAATACTTGAATGTGTGATTACGGGTGGAAAATGGTGTTATTGTAAAGGCATGCCTCTGCCTTGTGGTATATCCTGTGGACAAATGAAGTATATGTGATAAGTCTAACTTAAAATAACCTTTAACTAACTGAAAGAAAAATTTCAATCACAATACTTTATTTCTTTGTGTAGGTGTTGGGAGGTTAGCTTTTGCTAATAAACATGTTATTGAAGTACGACCAAAACTGTTATAAATAAACCTAACAGCTCTTTTTTGAATTTTTTCCATTTCGCTGATATTTTTTCTGGTGTAAGAGTACCAAATTATGGATGCATAATCTAAAGTAGGCTGAACAATTGCATTAATTGCAACAAGGCGAACGGCGGGAGTGGAGTGCCTAAGGGCTCATCTGAGATAAAATAATTTGTAATTGCACGAGCTTATTACAGTGTTAATATGTCTGGTCCAGTTAAGGTCATTCGAAATCCAAAGACCAAGGTACTTGTAGTGTTGTACCTCCTGCAAAAAAACATTATTGGCTGAATATGCAAAATGAAGAGTGTTACGTTTGTGAGAAATTTTCATGAAAACGGTCTTTTTAAAATTAACTGACATCTGCCATTTATCGCACCAACGAATGAACTTTTGAAATGCATCGTTTAAATGAATTTGATCAGTATGGTTTTCTATTTCCGAGTACAGGATGCAGTCATCCGCATATAACTTAACTTTTACAGGTATATCATGTGATATATCATTTATAAACAATAAATAGAGGAGGGGTTCGAGCACAGAGCCTTGGGGAACACCCAAGTCAACCGGAACTGTACGAGAACAATGGTCATTGAAAAAGACGTACTGTTTTTGATTCGAAAGATAACCGGAAATCCAATTTAGAAGCTGAGTATTCTTAAGAATTAAATCCAATTTGAAAAGTAATTTATTGTGAGAGACCGTATCGAAAGCTTTAGCAAAATCCATAAAAATTGCATCTACCTGTTTTCTGGAATTTATAGATTGTGCGAAATTATGAACTGTAGTTACCAGCTGAGTACAAGTAGAAAATCCTTTCCTGAATCCGTGTTGTGAACCTGACAAAATATTGTGCTTATCAAGGAATTCTGAAATGTGCTTATGTATTATGTGCTCAAGTAGTTTACAGGAAGTTGAAATTAATGAGATCGGCCGATAGTAATAACAGAATGGGGATTTCCACTCTTAAGTAGGGGCTTGACTTTAGCAGTTACCCAGTCATCCGGAACTTGACCATCTTTCAGA